CAGGATTGTGCCAAAACTTCCCATGTGATCATTTCTGTTTAGGCGTTATATTTTCCTTGCTGCTTGGATGGAGCATATCTGGCGTGTACATCTTGCTCTGGAGCACCTGTTAACATGTCATATAAATAATAACGTTATGCATCTGTTGTGCTCAGCCACCAGATTGAAATGCCTCCGCAATTTTTTACCATGCACCATTTAATTGGAATAATTTATTTTGAGATTACAATTACCATCAGTCACATTATCTCTTACTGTAAAATACATTTTCTTCACATATAATACTTTTCAGCCATGTCAAAATACACAGAGATCTTACAGAGTATTTTTCTATAAGGGAGAATTTTTACATTGGTCGGTCTCATTTGCGCAAGGGTCTGTACACTATACAAAGAGATATGGCGTAATATTGGCCAATTATTATCTGTTAATCCACATCGAATGGAGGACGGTAGAGGAAAAAATGAACAGACGTATTGCTGAGTGCTTTCTGCCTAGACAGTGCGCATTTTAGAAAATGTTCTCGTACTTACCATAATTTTATTTTCCTGAAAATCTGTCTATGGTTGGGTTATCTCTGCCCACTTGGCTGTTTAGGACAGAAAATACATTTTAAATAGTATATTCCCTCTATGAGTCTCCGGTCTTGCAACACACTTGAATGGCTAAAGGCAAACTTAAAACAGAAGAGAGGAAAAAAATTATCCTGCCCTGGATATATCCAGGAAAATATCATTACAGTAAGTATGAGGACATTTTCTAAACTCCTGGCTAATCCATGGCAGCATCACAATAGAGTAGTAACCATGCTAAAGTAAGTGGAGGTCAATAAATAAAGAAACAATACAATTTACAATACTAAACAGAAAGTTTATTTTTCTGAAATGAAGATTTTATGAAACTGAAGACAGAATATTTCTTCCAAATTCGATGGATTTCCGAGCTTGTATATCCAAGGCATAATGTCTTATGAAGATGTCGTATGCTAGACTGAATGACCAGTTGGTGACTGAGAGTGACTGTAATTATCTTTTCCTGGAACATAAACAGCTACAAGTCTCAGTACCATCTTCTGAGCTCATTTAATAATGGGTGGTAGTTCTTGAGGAAGGACTTTGCTGCGGTTACGTCTTTGCTTATTTATATAAGATGCCACTGTTTAATTGTCCATTCTGATCTTCACCAATTTCCCCATCAAAAATTCTTGGCAATGTATAAGTGCTAGATAAGCTGCTCTGAGTTCTAGCAGATTGATCGGGATATGAGAGCTTCTCTGTTTCCTTTCCCATTGGGCATTCTCATAACTATATATCCACTGTTAGTGTATACTTTGCTATAAAGAGTGTTTGTAATTGGGCATTTATATGCAGTAGATGGGCTCCCCATCCTAGGCCACTGCCATCGGTAGTAAGAGTTATCCAGTCTATTTCTCCCAGGGGAAAAAAACCTCTGTGAATATTTGAAGGTACATGCCACCATCTCAACTCCATTCAAACTCTTTTTTGAAATTTGTATTTTATATGACCAAGCATCTCAGTTCTGGTTGAAGTTTTATGGGAATTGTATCTGGGATGGCTGAAGATGCCACTGTGCCCACCTTACTAGACCAATTATTGAGGAAAAATTGCCCACCATACTCATTTAGACCTCTGCTGTAATGGATCTTGTAATGGCTACCCCAGTTTGTGAGGGGGTATCAGCCGTTGGAGACGTCCTTCTTCCCGGCAAGATGCTGTGCAGTAGTGGAGTTGCTTATTCCCATCCACTGGATCCAAGTAGAGAGCAGAACAGAGCTCTTAAAAGAGCTAAGTGATTAAGCTGCAGATTCCCTTTCAAGAACCAGACAAGGCTACGTTTTGAAGGGTCAAGAAGAACTGAGATTTTAATGACAAGTACTCTCCTTTCATGCAGTGCTCCCCTGCAAGGCAGACACCCACAGGCAATTATACAGTGACCAATCAAACAATGGTTACAACCCACAAATTCCCTCCCCTCTGCTTGGGAGATAATTGAGTTTCTAACTGTATCTACTCAATTATCTCCAAGCTAAAAAAATCATACTTTTTATACATTCTTATAACTTTCGTATTTTACATGGTACATAAATTATATTTTTATGAACAGTACAACTTGGGGAACAATATATAAAAAATTCGTGAAAATCCGTTCGGTGGTTCGGGAGATAGTAAAAAGTCCCTTGAACCGACCGCACGCCTGTGAGTATGCCCAAAATCAGTTCCACAGATTCAGGCTGTGCGGTCGGTCTTTCGTTCGACAAAAATCCCTATTTGCACAAACGGATTAATTCGTGCTGAGACTCTGAATACATCTAGTTCGGGAGTTTATTTTAACGAAAGAGTGCTCTGGATTTAGCCGAACGCACGGAGGATGGAAGTTACAGCAGTGTTCATGTAAAAGTCTAGCCAAAATGAGTTCCACGTGGACGACGACCAAACACCGCTGAGTGCATTCGACTATCCAAAATGGCCTCCGCCACGTGTTCGTGCAAACGAATGCCGACCACCCTGTATATCAATTAAATCCATGGAGTGTTCGTGGTTTTCACGGTGTTCTTACAGTCAGGGAGGTAAATGAGTGGCACACTTCTGTTCTGGGTGGTCGGGTGTTCGGTACAAAATTCGGTTTTCGAACGTTCTTATATTGTATCTCCATTACACGAAAGCAATTACACGAACAGTCTTTGTCTTTAGGTGCAGGATAAGGTGAGGGAGGACAGGAAAACGGTGAAGGTTCCCAGGCACATTGTAGGGATTTATTACAGATCTCTTTGAAATTACTTCTTGCACCCTCTTCACAATATGTTCTCTTCTTTCTTTTGAAAGACATCCTATTCCCAATACGGTGTTAAACCATGCGCCTAGAAAACAAATCCTTTGAGATGGAATCAGCTGAGTGTTATGGAAATTTTGACCCATCCAAATCTCTCCAATTCAAGTATCACTTTGTCACTGATAGATGAGGCTTTCTCTTGACTCCCCTACTAAAAAGATGTCATCTAAATAATGATAGATGTTTAGACCTTGTAACCTCAGTTCCGCTACTAGAGCTAGAAGAACTTTCGAGAAGATCCAAAGGGCATCACTCTGAATTGAAAATGGTCTAACAGGACTGTGAATCTCAAAATCTTTAATTGATTTCTGCGATTGGGATTTAAAAGTAGGCGTCCCTCAGACATATAGAGATCATTCAGTCTCTGGATATTGGGAGAAAGATTCAGCTTGTGAAGGTCTAGTATTGGATGTCAGTCTCCTGAAGGTTTTGGAACTAGGAAAAGTATTGTCTATATCCCTTTGAATCTTTCTGTTAATGGGAAACAGAAAGATCCAATATTACTTGATATCACTTTTTCTTGAAAGAGTTTTGAGATGTCTCTTGTAAGAGGAATCTTTAGAGTTTGTGATACCATGAAATAATTGTGAGAGGGAATCTCTAGAAATGCTAATCAATATCCTGTCCTGAGAGTGGAAACTACCCAAGGATCTAAATTTGCTTGAAACCAGATTTTCCAGAAGTGATGGAGAACAGCTCCTACCTCTGCAATTTGGGGACTCACAACTTCAGAAAGGTCTATTTGATGATCTTGGTGTGGTTGATAGCTTATTTCTATTGCCTCTTGATGACTGTCCTCCTTTCCAGGCAGATATTCTTGAAAATTCTCATCTATCTTGAAAGTATCTGCTATCTTGCCAGCTTTGTGAACATGTCTTGTCCTTAAGGAACCAGGGAAGGAACACTTTCTTACCCTCTGCCTCATGTATAACTTTACTTATTGAAAGAATTATCTAATAAAATTTATTTTAATAATACTTTACTAAAAAATGTAATCAATAACTTACCTTAACTAACACTCCGACAAATAGTTGAGCGAACAGGGACAAAAGAAGTATTCAGAACAGCTTTATGTCAATGCTGAGGAGAATGAGCTGCCAAAACCTGTATAAATAAGCTTACCTGAATTTCTAGGCCTTTCGAGGCTTTTCTGGTTAAATTCACATTAATGTGCATGAACCAGGGCTAAAAATGCACCATTTTGCATCTGGACTCTATTTAGATGAAATTCACTCTGTTGGGAAAGCAAAATAATTGCCGGACGACTATTTATTCAAAAGGTAATCTCATTCGCATTACATTTGGAAGTGCGAATTTTCAATTTTCATTCAGACAATCAAATTTGTGATAGAGGATACAGATTTTGTCAAAAAGAAACCAGAAGAACTAAACAGATGCAATTCGGGATGGTGATTTGGCGTTAACAGCTGTTAAGCAAGAATATAGGATGTCAAAACAGGAGAACCTGGTTGAATTAGACAATTATTGAAATAATAAAATAAAAAGTTAAGGAGGTTGTCAAAGGAATTAATTGTATAAAGAATTACCGTATATACTCGAGTATAAGCCGAGTTTTTCGGCATATTGTTTGTGCTGAAAAACCCCAACTCTGCTTATACTCGAGTCAGTCTGTATTATGGCAACTTACATTGACCAGGACCGCCGGGCTCATTACAAGCCCGGCGGTCCTGTTGGGGGCTGACAGCGAGCTGTTACTTACCTTCCTGCAGCTCCTGTCAGCTCCCTTCTGCTTGTTGCCTGGTCAGGGAGGGGGGACAAAATTTTTTTTTTTTAAATAATGCAAATATTAAAATAATAATAATATAATAATAAAATAATATTATTAAAATAATATAATATTAAAATAATAGTATGATAATAAAATAATATTATTTTAATATTATATTATTTTAATAATATTATTTTATTATATTATTATTATTTTTTTAATATTATATTATTTTAATAATATTATTTTATTATTATTATTTTAATATTTGCATTATTATTATTTTTTTATTTTTTTGTCCCCCCCCCTCCCTGACCAGGCAACAAGTAGGGAGGGGGGACAAAAAACATTTTAAAAAATAATGCAAATATTAAAATAATAATAATATTATTAAAATAATATAATATTAAAATAATAATAATATAATAAAATAATATTATTAAAATAATATAATATTAAAATAAAAAAATTAAAATTAAAATGCCCTCCCCTCACCCAGTTTACACACTCTGCACAAACACACACACTGCATTATATACACGCTGCATTCATTATATACACACACACAACACACAAACACACACTCTGCATTCATTGTATACACACACAAACGCACACTCTGCATTCATTATATACACACACACAACACACAAACACACACTCTGCATTCATTATATACACACACAACCACACACTGCATTCATTATATACACACACAAACACACACTCTGCATTCATTCTATACACATACTGTAAATAAATATTCAATTAATGTAATTTTATTGGGATCTAATTTTATTTAGAAATTTACCAGTAGCTGCTGCATTTCCCACCCTAGGCTTATACTCGAGTCAATAAGTTTTCCCAGTTTTTTTGTGGTAAAATTAGGGGCCTCGGCTTATATTCAGGTCGGCTTATACTCGAGTATATACGGTACATTTCTTGAATACATTTGAACAATGTATGATCCTTATATACACCATTACCCATAGGATCACTGTGGATTTTAAAGGGTTTCTGTAGCTAAGGATACCCTTTACTGATCCTAAATGGGGCTATGTACTGGAGGCTTCCAAGAGAGAGAGAGGCTGAACTGAAAATTAGATGTTAAATGAAAATTTGCCTAGGTAAGCTAAACTAAAAAATTAGTTAAGATAAATTAATTTACCTAATTCCATGTCCACAGCCAAGAGGACAGGAAAAAAGACCGTAGACTCGGACAGAGGATGTCCTATTTATAATTTATTTCCTGTCCTAAATAGTCAAGTGGGCAGAGATAATCCTATTGTGATTCTGCTACGGATTAGCCAGGAAAATAAAATAGTATAAACTTTCATTGTTACAAATTCCTACTGTGAAAAAACCCAATCCTTTATCTGACAATTTTTTAAAGAAAAAAGGCATTTATATAAACTTACACTGAATTCTACACAAGCACTTCTAAGATATGCCCCATTTCCATTATCTGCCCATTTACCATGCTATGACACCACACTCATGTACCATAATGCCCATCCTAGACACATCTCCACCTCTTGACACTGGTTGCACATACCTTGATCATTATACTTTATAAAACTCAACATCTAAATTCAATTTTTACAAATGGTATATTGAATCAAGACAGGAATTATTGATAGGTTTCAGTTAAAGGTGTCTAGTTAGCTAAGATCTGACTTTTAGAATCAAGGATCCAGTGTATCAAACAGTGCAATCCCCTCCTAGTACCGTCTTAGGCAGCTGGTAGAATGTAGAATGGTTCCGGTAAGAATGCTGCAAACTTTCGTGCACACTATGGTTGTGGTATGAAATAAGAAGATACTGAAAATTGTGTAGATACTTTGTATACAATGGCCAGTTTACTTTAGTAACTATACATAACCTTTTGCTTTGTGTTCATATGATTTCTAATTTAAGACACATAGTGGACTATGAATCTAGAATTTTCATAAATACACATGTAGAAATAACTAGCAAACGCTCTGTTTCATTTATTTATTGGTATTATTCCTGTGAAACACTCTTTGTAAAGTGATTACTTTGTACGTTAATTGATAAAGCTTCTCGATTCACACTGTAACGGTAACTGTCGTTTCGATATGTCAAACAATTCAAATGATTATAGTTTATTAAACTTACTAATCTAAGTGATGGTTTTTGGTTTTTTATTTTGAATTTGTCTAATATTACATTAATGTTTGCGTTGTTTACTTTGTTTTACTTGGAATTTTATTTCGATATTAAAATCTTTTTAGCACCCATTTAAGCCCTTCCTTCCATCAAGGTATATACTTGTGTTAACATTTGTTTTGCATTGAAAAATGAGGCAAAAAAACACATTTTAGCCACAAATAAATACCAGCTTACTTTGCACTTTTCGACAAAGCTGATTTCTACACTGTGAAAAATAAATGTGCAAGGGCTCTATTTTATTCCTTCTGTTTTCTGCTGAAGAACTGCAAATGGCAATATGCTCCCCTTCCTCCTTATCTTAGGCTGCGTATAGGCATGTTGGGTGAGGAGGTCAGTTAGTGCTCTGAGCAGACTAAGCACACCATGTTGCAGACTGCAATATCCTCTAGCAACACAATCAGGGCTGGCCTTAGGTGTTCCAGCGCCCTGTGCGAGCTAATCTTGTGGCGCCCCCCCCCCCCACCTAAACATACACAAAGAGGAAAACAGTCTTTGTAACAAACTGTTTTTTAATTACAGATAATTTAAGTGCAAACAAGTACAATAATAAATAACTGGATTGACTGGTAACAATAATGTATATTAAATATATTAAATACACAGAACTCTCCACGATACCGGCTATAGACCTATCAGGTCCACTCCGACACCCACCCCGCACAACATTACATGAGAACCCGGGGGACACTCTAGCTACCTGCTCCCCTCAGGGATCTACACGTGAACACAAATAGCCCTCATTACCTACCGATTAGCACTATTCCCCTATACCAAACACACAAAAGGGCGCAATATTCTTAAGCCACGCAATTGTATGTAACTGCCTCCGCTTAGACCGCACCAGCCGAAGTGGCGATGCTTAATATCGACATTACACAAACTAACAAGTTAATGATATGGAAGGAGAGCACACAGCGATCCCCCACAGCTAGGTCAGGCACTGAATAGTCACTAAGCCCCCTCGGCATATGCCCTGACCAACCTCATAATGCCGATTAACCCCCCCCTACGTATAAAGTGGGTGCAGGGTTGGTCGGCTGTAACGTACAGCAACCTATTGTACATGCTCCACCAATTATGATCAGGTTTATTTCTGTTGATAATGTTTGTCTTTGTTAGAAACATAGCCGACCGAACCTGTATTGCCTTTCTGCTCCATAAGCATAGTTGATAGGCTCACAGGAACTATACCGGCTGCTCATGAGGTTATCTTGTTATCTAATATAAAAATGCATGGTGTTGGTGTTCCAAAATATTTTTTGATTACTCCAGCACTCTTCTGGTCCTCCAAATCCATAAGGGCCCTTCGTTTTCGATTCTGAGCACCTGACAGTTTTTTGGGACCCATAATGCTGCTACACGATACAATAAAAAAATATATATTTAAAAGAGAGGCCCTTTTAAGTATAGATACAAAAGAAATGCAAGATTCGCAGCAGCAGTGTACAGATAATATGAATTTCCTAAATGTAGTATGCCAACATTTGTGCCAAATAAAGTATAGATAAATAAATAAGCATTGCAGGTATTCATCAAATGAATAAGACATCCAAACCTTGTATTTCCAGGTATAGATTAAATAACATAACACATGGAAACATAACATTACATGTGTAGAACAACTAAACATAAAAATCACAACATAAAAATCACATGCTAACACAGTAGTGAAGATATAGATCAACTATAGATCAGCTTCAATGTCACTGTCGGGGGTCTTTGCACATTTGGCAAATTCCCAGACAGTGACAGTGCCACTTTAATAGTATAATCCACAAAGTCAGTTTATGTATTGTAGAAACAAGAGCAATGTTGTCAGTACACTATATTTAACCATTTTACAACACTAAGCATGTATAGCCTCTCCCTCATTTCTTAAACCCACGTCTTTGTTTGGCCCCCTCTAGACAATTTCAGGCACACAATATGCCGCCTTCACCCCCTTCACCAAAACCCTTGGCCACTTCTTCAATAAAACCCCTACCCCCTTCATCAGACCCTGCCCCCCTTCATCAGATACTGCCTCTATTCATCAGACCCTGTACCCTTCATCAATCCCCAGGCTGCACCCCTTCATCAACCCTTTGCACCCCTTAATCAGACCCTGCCTCCCTTAATCAAACCCCTGCCCCCCTTAATCATAACCTGGCATCCATGCCCAGTCCCTTGCCCCCCTTAATTAGACCCAATGTCACCCATAGCCAGTCCCAGTCCCCTGTCCCCCTTAATTAGACCCAGTGTCACCCATAGCCAGTCCCAGTCCCCTGTCCCCCTTAATTAGACCCAGTGTCACCCATAGCCAGTCCCAGTCCCCTGTCCCCCTTAATTAGACCCAGTGTCACCCATAGCCAGTCCCAGTCCCCTGCCCCCTTAATTAGACCCAGTGTCACCCATAGCCAGTCCCAGTCCCCTGTCCCCCTTAATTAGACCCAGTGTCACCCATAGCCAGTCCCAGTCCCCTGTCCCCCTTAATTAGACCCAGTGTCACCCATAGCCAGTCCCAGTCCCCTGCCCCCCTTAATTAGACCCAGTGTCACCCATAGCCAGTCCCAGTCCCCTGCCCCCCTTAATTAGACCCAGTGTCACCCATAGCCAGTCCCAGTCCCCTGCCCCCCTTAATTAGACCCAGTGTCACCCATAGCCAGTCCCAGTCCCCTGCCCCCCTTAATTAGACCCAGTGTCACCCATAGCCAGTCCCAGTCCCCTGCCCCCCTTAATTAGACCCAGTGTCACCCATAGCCAGTCCCAGTCCCCTGCCCCCCTTAATTAGACCCAGTGTCACCCATAGCCAGTCCCAGTCCCTGCCCCCCTTAATTAGACCCAGGGTCACCCTTACCTAGTCCCCTGCCCCCCTTAATTCAACCCAGGCTCACCCATAGTCATAGTTAATTCAACCCAGGGTCACCCATAGTCATAGTTAATTCAACCCAGGGTCACCCATAGTCCCTTGCCCCCCTCAATTAGACCCATGGTCACCCTTACCAAGTCCCCTGCCCCCCTTAATTCGACCCTGTATTTTATGAAAAGATTTTTGGATTAAAAATAAAAAAATAAGAACAGGTACTTACTTTGAAGTCTGCTGCTTCCTCCCTGTCTGCAGAGCACCGGCCGCCGCCCTCACACATTGAGCGGATCCTTCCGCGGCTCTCTGTGATGGCGCAGCACTTGCACGCTGCGCCCCCAAGCTCCTCCTCCACGCTCCGGAAACCGCAGTTCAGCTCACAGACAATCTCGGGCCGGCCAGTGACAGAGCGACTGCGAGCTGTGTCGGCCGCCCGGCGCCCCTGTTGCCATGGCGCCCTGTGCGGCCGCACAGCTCGCACACCCCAAAGGCCGGCCCTGAACACAATGTGCTGTAGTGGTAGGTGCCTGATGTAGCTGTATTTGCTTTAAGTGATCATTGTGCAGAAAAAGTATTTTTAACATCTTGGCATTTTTGGAAAGCTGCATTCCCAGAAATGCCACCCAGCACATATGTTTCCTGTCATAAAGAATGAAATACATCCAAAGTACACAACAAGGGAATAGCACACACATGCAGTTTTAAATCTTACAAGGCTACTTAAACTCTCTCTTAGCAAACAAATATATCATGTTCTTTAAAATACTCATAACCAGTATCACTGATCATTAAATGTGTTTATTTATCTAATAAAACTGGTATTTCTTCTTCTGTGCAAATATTTCATTCGCTTTCTAAAATATAGAAGGATAAAGGATACCTTACAATCTCTAAAACTCCCTTCCCCTCCTCCCCAAGCTTCCTGTAAAGGATTAATGAATAAATAAAAAATTAGATTTGTTTACATTTTTATGATTTTTTTAAGGTATCCCTGAACAGAAAAAAAAATATTTGCCCTACTTTCATATGTGAGCAATCCACCATATGTTCCCAATTAAATCTATACTAATTAGGTGGTGAAGGGTTAAATAAAAAAAATGTTTACAGTGGAATTTGACTCCCACGTGACATACCTTTAGAAATACATAAAAGGATCCGGATTTGATACATAATTATTAGGCATGGAAGCTAGACTGCTATTTTTAAAGGGACATTCCAATTAGCAAAACAACATTTTTAAGAAGCAGTATGGGGGTACAGCTCATGGTCGAGCTCTGACTACGCCTCAGAAGAACCTCTTACACATTTCCTGAAATAAAAAATGTTTAGCTTCCCTTATTATACAATGTGCTTAATCTAAACGTTATTATCTCCTGCAGTGTAAATTGCCTCCTGGAGCCTGCAGCAGCCTCTTGTGTGTGATTGAAGTTCAATTTACAGAGCAGGATATAAGTAATTCTAAAGTAAACACACTGTGCTGTAAAAGTGGAGCTCCATGGAGACTGCCTGAATCTGAGCCAGGTAAGGTGTGGCCAGCGCTACATAAACAAACTGAAAATTGCCCAGTGAGATTGCAGGGGCTTGATCTATACACAAACACTCTTTCATTAAAGGAATTGTATAGGTAAAAAATGCATATCCTTGTTCCCCCAACAGTAAACCTACTGTCACTAAATGCTTTCCCCCTATATAGTGTAAAATGAACTTTAGTATTACGCGTTATAATCTTTACTTTGATCAGATTTTCTGCTCCTCCTCTGATTTCATGTCATCTCCTGTATTTCAGCTGGACTGTCCACCAATGGCCATGCTCCAGTGATTCTCTATGAGAATGCCTTAGTGGGTGGAGCTTCATGATGCAATTTGCATCATTCAACACGTGTTCACAATGCATGCCCAAAAAGTTCTCAACATAAGTTGCGCTACAAATACAGGATTCAGACACTAGACATACCACATCACGCGCGTGCACGCACACACACACACACATTTCCTCAACACATTAGGTATCATATAGTGTTATATGTTTATTATAAACAAATATAAAGAGACAGACAAATTCATAAATACCTATAGAGCTTTGTGTTATATCTATCCATCTCTCTCTCTTATTCTATATAGACCTATATCTCTATCTATCTAGCTATCTATATCTCTAGCTATCTATCTAGGATGGTTGATTAACAAGGACTGGCAGTGAAGGAGTTAACAGTGAATAGTGCTGTTGACTGGCAGGGTAGAGAGGTTGGCTGACGGACAGGCAGGGGAAAGGTTAACAGTGGGTAGTGAGATTGGCTTGCAGGAACTGGCAATGAAGGAGTTTACAGTGGGAAGTGTGGTTGACTGACAGGGACTGGCAGGGAAGGGATTATCAGTGGGTAGGGAGGTTGGCAGACATGGGCTGGAGGAGATTGCATTACAGGAAGGAAGGGAGAGGAGCACAGATAGACTCTAGCCTTGCCTCTGCAGTGCAGTCTGTGCTGTAAGCATTTATTACACTACAGAAGGCATGCCTCTATTTTCATTGGCTGAAAAAGGTACATTTCTTTCAGAGACTGGGAATCAGGAACATGTTGAAATGTGAGAGGGGGTGGCTAAGGAGGGTGGGTTACACTGCTGAAAAAAGCAAAACATTTTACAGCACTGCAGGAAAACTACACAGAATTGAAAAGAAACTAACCACAGGTATTTGAGCTTATTGCTTTAATCTAAGTTTAACTTGTTTAAAGGACCACTATAGTGCCAGGAAAACATACTCGTTTTCCTAGCACTATAGTGCCCTGAGGGTGCCCTCACCCTCAGGGTCCCCCTACCGCCGGGCAGGATGGAGAGGAAGGGGTTAAACTTACCTCTTTCTCCAGCGCCTGGACAGGGAGCTCTCCTCCTCCTCTCCAACTCGTCGGCTGAATGCGCATGCGCGGCAAGAGCCGCACACGCATTCAGCCAGTCTCATAGGAAAGCATTCACAATGCTTTCCTATGGACGCTGGCGTCTTCTCACTGTGATTTTCACAGTGAAAAGGACGCAAGCGCCTCTAGCGGCTGTCAATGAGACAGCCACTAGAGGCTGGATTAATCCTAATATAAACATAGCAGTTTCTCTGAAACTGCTATGTTTATAGTAAAAAGGGTTAATCCTGGCTGGACCTGGCACCCAGACCACTTCATTAAGCTGAAGTGGTCCTTTAACTGCCTAGAGTGCCCATTTAAGTTAAAATTGTTTTGGTGCTCCAGAGTAAAAAAAATGAATACATGCATGTATTTATGTGTGCATATAGTCATTTCAAGTATATCTGAAAAGCGCTTGAAAAAGCTGCAGTTCATATGACTGCCGCCTCCTTTGCAAGCCCCCCCTTTTAACCTGGAAGAGACATTCAGTCTATTTGCAGAGACATTACCAGAGTCTTCTCATTGCAAAAACTCTGAATCTGTTCTTTCTGTGTGTGGTGTGCATGCTCGTACGTGCACCTCTGTTTTTTTGCCTACATACATTTAAACTAAAACAATGGAAGCAAGCAATAGTTTACAGCATAACATTGTAACTTGATTTTAGTATCTAAGTAGAAACAGCTGCTCAGTACCATCATGGACTCACCCCACAGCCCAAATGAAATGCGTGTTCTCTCTGTCAAAAAAGTTAAATGTTCACTCTTTTGATCTACATTGATATCAAAACACATATACAAAAAAGAAAAACACATAGTCATCCACACAAAAATACAAAATACATTCAACAATACAACACCTCCAAAAATGATCCAGAACTGCTGAACGCTGTTGGAGAAAGTCTCACTGTGCATCTGACTTTCTCCGCTATAAATTTATGCTGAGCTCATACAGCTTGGCTCTTTCCTCTGCAAAAGTTAATTACTTCAATACCCTCATAACCACACTCTCCCGCGAACCCAAAGGACTATTTCACACACTTAACTCTCTTCTTCGCCCTGTTGTTCCTCCTCCACCTACTAACTTGACCGCCTCACACTTTGCAACTCACTTCACTGATAAGATCTCTACAATCAGGGAAGAGATTTCTCATTTTTCTTCTCCCCCTTACAATACTTACCCTAACTTCACTCCCTCTGCTGTTCTATGTTCATTCACACCCGCTACATTGGAAGAGGTTTCTGCTCTGCTCCAGTCCTCCCGCCCCACCGCCTGCTCCCTTGATCCAATTCCCTTGCATCTCATCCGTACTCTGTCTTCTTCTCTTTATCCACCTCTTACTAAACTTCTCAATCTCTCTCTCTCCTCTGGTATATTTCCATTGCCCTTCAAACATGCAACTGTAACCCCAATTCTAAAGAAACCCAACCTTGACCCTAACTCCCCATCCAACTATCGTCCTATCTCGCTACTGCCTTTTGCATCCAAGATCCTTGAAAGAATTGTGTATGTGAGATTGACAGACTTCCTTGAGTCCAACTCTCTGCTAGACCCGCTTCAGTCTGGTTTCCACACTAAGCACTCTGTGGAAATGGCACTGACCAAAGTATCCAATTATCTACTTGTTGCAAAATCTCGTGGTCACTACTCTATCCTAATTCTCCTTGACCTGTCTGCGGCTTTTGACACTGTTGATCATCAACAGCTTCTTCTCATTCTTCGCAATATCGGTCTACAAGATATTGGTGCTCCTCCTACCTCTCTCAGTGCTCTTTCAGTGTTTCTTTCTCTGGCTCTGCATCTTCTCCCCAACTCCTCTCTGTTGGTTCAGTCCTTGGTCCCCTACTGTTCTCTATCTATACTGTGTCCCTTGGTAAACTCATTAGCTCCTTTGACTTCCAATATCATTTCTATGCAGATGACATGCAAACCTGTCCTCTCCTGATCTCTCCCTGTCCCTCTTGACTAGTGTCTCTAACTGCCTCTCTGCTATTTCTAGCTGGATGGCTGCCCACTTCCTTAAACTAAACTTGACCAAAACTGAAATTCTGATCTTTCCTCCCTCAAGCGTTGTTACTCCTGTGTCTGTCTCCCTCCAAGTCAACGGTGGTACCATCAGCTCCACCATGCAGGCTCGCTGCCTAGGTGTTCTCTTTGACTCTGATCTCTCCTTCAAGCCTCATGTTCAGTCTATCGCCAAATCCTGTCATTTCCATCTCAAAAACATTGCTTGCATCCGCCCCTACTTAACGCCAGATGTGACTAAGGTGTCGGTCCATTCCACTGTCCTTTCTCGCCTTGACTACTGTAATCCGCTTCTCAGTGGTCTTACGTGCTCCCAACTTGCGCAGTTACAGTCCATAATGAATGCAGGGGCGAGGCTCATCTTCCTGTCCGCCTGCACCGCCTACGCCTCACCCTTCTGTCAGTTCTTACATTGGCTTCCGATAAGATATAGAGCTAAATTTAAAATTATGATTCTTGCTTTCAAATCTCTACATAATGCTGCTCCCACCTAGCTATCCTCCCTTATACACAAGTATGTCCTGTCTAGGCCCTTACGATCTGCTGAAGACTTACGTCTATCTTCTGTCCGTACTCCCACCTCTGATGCTCGCCTTCAAGACTTCTCGAGGGTTGCACCGTTCCTGTGGAACTCACTTCCCTCCTCCGTTAGATGCTCACCCAGTCTCCACTCTTTCAAAAAATCGTTAAAAACCCACTTCTTCATAAAAGCATATCACTTAAACTGTTAATAGCTCCCGACTGATTCCTCTTCTGCATCTGTCACTAGTCTAATTCTATCCTTACCTTTTGTGTAATTTTACCCCACTCCCTCTAGCATGTAAGCTCATTGAGCAGGGCCCTCAACCCCTCTGTTCCTGTGTGTCCAACTTGTCTGGTTACAACTACATGTCTGTTTGTCCACCCATTGTAAAGCGCTACGGAATTTGATGGCGCTATATAAATAACAATAATAATAATAATAACACACATCGCCAATGGGGACACTGGGGTATTTAAAACCAGCATAACAATATTATATGTATATCACTTGAGGGCAGTGGGGGCGTGGGGTAAAGAATAGCTTATCTTTGACACTGAGTGCTCAGTAGAGCAAACAGTCACAGTTGTCTCAAGTACCTAGTAGCTGGAAAACGTGTTGCAAAAGAAAAATACCATAACACTTTAGTGGATGAAATACCCCAGATCTCCACACGTCATAGCAGTCAGGTTCCCGGCTGGGCCATCACTGCACACCTTGGAACGAAAGGAACCACAACGTTGGGATCCTAGGCTCGAGCAGCATTAGGTATGATCCTCTCTGTGGGCCAAAGCAGGCAATCCCCAGACTTGCAGAAATTGTAGGACATCTGCAGCAGAAGTAAGCCTATGGACGGTTCCCTGCTGAGTCACAAACAAGGTCCTCGGAGACCCCCCATCTATAAGTCAGACCAGAGTCTTTCAGCCAACCTAGGTGAGAGTTCTTGAACATGTATGGTACTTTACCGTGAACAGCGGCCATGAAATGTCCCTTATCTTGAAGAGGGAAACAATAACGTGTCTAATGTGACATTTGGGAGATGCCGTTGGGGACCTTGGCAGTTAATATGTCCCTACTTTGGTCAGCTTTCTAGCCAGATGTGGAGGTAACATGGTAGCCATTACGCATCTCAGGTAATGTGGCAACTTCTCAGGGGGGACCTCATCAGGTATTCCCCTTACCTTGATATGATGTCACCTGTGGTGGTCTTCCATGGTGGACATGCGTGCAGCTAAATTCTGTTGAGAGAATTTGACTTTTCTGATAGTGTCCTGCATAGTAGACAGGCCAACATGTATATACAAAATATCAGTTACTGCCTTAACATCATCCTTGACCATTGCTATATCAGACTCCAGCATTTTCTCGATGTCCGGCCTAGTGGCAAGTTCAAGCCCCATCTTAGTGTGCTGGGACAGCTGGTAATGTGTCCAGTACTGTGGGCTCTGAAGATGGATCTACAGGCTGCATGGGGCTAGGGAGGGAAAAAGACCTTGAGCCTTCCGCAGCGACCATAGTGAACAGTGGTGGATGCTGCAAAAGGGTTTCAAAGTCCTTTGCCTCCAGTTTATCTCCTGACTGCTTGGGTGGAGCAGGCTCGGCTGCTTGGCAAAGGTTTTCCACCGAAGATCCGTTTATGAGAGACTCAAGCTTGGAAAGGATAGGTGAGAAGTAGGCCACAGGCCAGTGCTTCATTCTTCTCACCTTTGGGGTATGAAAGAATATCATCTATCTGTGCATGGGGACACTGTGGGTATTATTAGGGTGCCTTACCCCTGGATGGTTGGTAAAACTAAGGGTTTTTGCCAGGATTGTGCTATGTGAGTGGGAGCCTCAGGAAGATGCGTCTGCTCTCATTTAGTAGCAAGCTTCACCTTTTTTTATTTGTTTGCATTTTTAATGCATTACCTATATAATGCAAGAAGAGGGTGAGGTTTGTTTACAACCCAAAAAGAGCCCTAAAGAGTCCATTTCATTTTTTGTTTTCAAACTAGCGCTCAGGAAACCATAATATCCTGTTATCTAATAGTGCACAAATGCTTAATCTACAAACTACAACACGGAAAGTGATGACTGGAGTATTCAGTACTAAGGATTTTCTATCATACTTTACTAAAAAAGCATGGGTAATAAAGTGTAGCTGTTACACTACCTTGGCCAAAATCACCCATATTATGTTTTGGTTACACAGTTTAGGAAAGGAAACCAGGGTCAAGTGAATGGTTTGGTAAGTGATCTGAGTTTTGCAATCATTAGCATCTGGTTTTAGCACATGTATTTAATTGACTTTCTATATCTAATCCTAAGAAAAGCGATAGCAAACCCCAAGAAGAAAAGTTTCATCGGGCAATTAAAGTCAAGGCTGGCTCCATTCCAGAGTCCATAAATAGTTAATGAATCCAAGAACGGAGTCACAAGCAAATTAACAATGCTCAGCAAGTCAAGGTCAGAATATCAATCACAGTTACAAGCAATTATACAAACCACTGCCAACAGCCAATTTCAAGCTGGGATATGGTTAACCAATGATCCTTTGTGAAAACCATTGCTGATTCCCCTAAATGCAGATATAAATAAGTTGTAATACTATAGTTGTTTGTAAACCAATAGTTCTCAGAATAAGATAAAATCAATTATTAGTATTTTGTAATTTTAAGCAGCTATTGCCAAAATATGTGTTACAGCATTTTAGCCAACACCACTTGTGTCAAAATATTTTATCTAACCTGACAAACGGATTCATTGTTTTTGTATTATATTTTTAATGTTTTTTGCACAAGGAGGTTGTAAATCATGTATGTAATACTATCTTCAGAAGCATAGCTAGGTCACTGTATGTAACAGAATGTACAGTGCTTCAGAAAGGAACGCTGAATAACTTGTAACTAACTAACCTTTTAAACACAACTTAAAGCTGAGTAAAAAGATGCAAGCAGCTAGTGTTAATGTGAAGTCAACAGGTACCTCGGCATCTGTTCCATCTCTATTCCTAACACTGTTTTCAACCACCTTCAACTTCATACACCACATATTCACTGATGGAGACATATATGTTTTCTTGAATAAGTAATTAATGAGTGCTTCCCTGGGTGGCCGCCATTCATATAGACGAACGCCAACCAGGGGGAGCATTCATATACCTAAAGGAGATGCTTCCCTTGCCTGGTTTCATACAAGGACCCCACGAACAGAGACTGTTCGCAACAGGTACCGTTATGGGAGTCCCTGGGGTCGGTGTGGCCATCGTTTGGGGACAATGGCTGGGTTGGGTGGGCTTTCTATAACTGGGAGTCAAAGAGGCGGGTAGTTTCCCCTCGCTGTGACTCCAAGGTGCCGAGGCTCATGGGAAGAAGACTCCCTGTCACCGGAAGTGGGAAACCCTGTACTTAGGTGGAGGGAAGAGGGGACAAAGGGACTGGAACTCTTGTATTATGTTAAGACCCCTGGGAGGGGGAAGACCCGGGGAGGGGACACTGATTGTGTGGTGTACACCCCTTGCATGGGGTTTTGCATGAAAGCCATGTGTGGCCAATAAAGTGGGGTTGTACCTCCAGAACTCGGTTTCGTCCAGTTGCTGGGGGGAGGAAATGGGTCTAACTAGCGAAGGTAACCAGTCAGGTTACCCGTGGTCTTCTACATTTAATGGCAGCGGTGGGATGGTCCTTCCCAGCCGTGCAGAACCAGTGTTAATGAACAGCACTGACTGATGGACTACTCGACGTTAAAGAGACAGATGTTGCAGGAGTTGCTAGAGGAGAATTAGCCAGCAACCGACCCAAGGCAGACCTGGTCGCTGCCCTCATGCAGGACAACCGAAAACACATGCGCGGCCGCTGCACAGCAACCAGGGGGTGAGAAGGATGCCCATGACAAGGAAAATGGATTGTTGCCTGGCATACTACGGCGAGAGGCCCTCTGTGGAGATCATGACCCAGATCTTTGCCGAGGCACAAGCCTATGTCTTGGTGCAGAGGGCATGGGCGAACCCCACTTCGGGCTGGGGAAGTCCTGGGGGGTCTGGCTGCCCTAGAACCCAAGCCCAAACTACCCTACTAAGCCTTCAAAAAGTTTGCAGAGGTGGAAGAAGGCATAGATGACTTTTTGCAGGACTTTTTGGCCTCTGTCTGCTACATGAGATTACCCCAGCAGACCGGGTTCCCCTCCTGGCCGGGAACCTCACGGAGAAAGCTGCGGATGCTTATCGGGCTGTACCCGAGGAAGACCTGCGTAACTATGCCACTGTGAAGCAGGTCCTGTTGACGAGGTATGCCATCACCCCAGAGGCATACCGCCGAAAGTTCAGGGAACTGAAGAAGGGGGTCCAGGAATCCCACACGGAGTGGGCTTGCCGCCCGAGCAAGGCAGCCCAAAGCTAAGTGCAGTCCCAGCAGGCGAAGACTTCTGAGGAAGTGCTGCAACTGTTCCTGCTGAAACATTTCTACAATGGGCTAACCACAGAGATTCAAGATTGGATAAGAGACCGACAGCCTAAGACTTTAACTGAAGCAGTCCAAAAAGCTGATGAATACGCAGCTACCAGGCGACCCCAGCGTCCTGCTACCACCCCAATCCACCGACCACCAGTGCGCACGGCACCCCAGTTTACTTCCCCTGCAGCCACCTCACCCTGAGGTTCCCCAGCTCCCGCAGCAGCTCTGAGAGTGCCAAGCTGCGCAGCTGGTCCATGTCACCAGTGCCAACAGTGGGGCCATTACATGAGTGAGTGCCCTACTGGAGATAGCCCATTGGCAGGGCATTTAGGACAGCCAAAGCCTCTTCTGGCCAAGTATCTCCCAGGACATGAAGCGATACTGTCAGTCCTGCAATGTCTGCCAGAAGATGGGGAAGCAGGGCGACCAGCACAAGGCCACGCTCCATCCCCAACCCATCATTAAAGACCCCTTTGGCAGAGTAGCTGTTGATATCATTGGTCCCCTGGCTAAGCCCAGTCCCTCTGGGAAGAAATAAATTCTG